AGGCCGCCTGCCCAAATACCCTCCCTCGTCTCTGCACACAAACACATGCACACACACACTCAGTGTGCCTACCTCTGCGCGCGCGTGCGCGCACACACACACACTGTCTAGGGTAACCAGATTTCCAGTTCCAAAAAAAGATACCTGTCACCTGGGGGGAGAAGGGAATATGATAGGGGGCAGTGACATGCCGTTGCTCTGCCCATTCCCCATCTGTTGCTCCTCGCTGACAAGACACATCCCACCCCCAGCCCTGCTGTTGCCCCTCAGTCCAGGCCCACTGACCCCAGCACTGCCAGTGTCCCTCACTCCCGAACAGCAGTACCCTGCTCCCCACCCCTTGCTGGTGCCCCTCACTTCTGACCCCCAGCCCCCTGGCAATGCCAGTGCCCCACACACCCAACCCATAGTCACCCGTCCCTCGTGCCGCTCACTCCTGATCCACAGCCCCTTTCCTCCCACCCAGCCCAGGTGGTGCCCCTCCCTACCTGCCCAGCTGGGGTCTGGTTCAGATCAAGGTCGAGCTGTGGAGCTACCTCTGAGACCCTCAAAAGGCAAAGGGCACAAGCTGGCAGCCGTTGGGTAAAACCCAGACCAGCACTCAAGGGCCTGGTGTCCCCCGCTGTGGGCTGCCTCCATCACCCTGTGTTGGGAGGCAGAGCCTTGCACTGGCTGTGGGGGGACCTCTGAGCCCCAGGGGATGGTGCGCCCCAGGGTCTGCACAGCATCTCCTCTGACCCTCCCAGCAGGTCCCGTACCCTGTGCTGTGTCACAACCCCACACAGCCACGGGCTAAGGCAGGCCTACCTGCAGCACCACCTCTTCCAGCCCCTAGTGCCTCAGTTCTCCAGTCTTTAAAATGGGAACATGGTAATGCTTTCTTTCTTCTGCCCTTTGTCTGGTCTGGTGGGATGGAAATTTTTCAATGCAAGTTTGTGCAGTGCATGGCACAACGGGACCTTGATCCCAGCACTGCAGCAAATAATCAGCAGTGCATTGCGGGGACCTAGGCATCAATCCAGAGAGGCATTGCTGAACTCAGTGAAGGTACTTCACTTTTCTAACTGGGATCAGAATCTGGCCCATTAGACTATTTGAGGCATCACGGTAGAGCACAGACAGAGCTTGCATTTGATGACAGGAAGCTATCGGTCACCATCTCCCTAACCCTGTGGTTTTCCTCCCATCCAGGTTCCGTTACCAGCCACAGCAGCTTCAGATTAGTTTTGGCGCTCACCCTAACAGTGATCTTGGAGCTGACGTGAAGTTTTGCCTTCCTCTTCCGAACAGCTTCACCCAGAATTTACATCTCTGTCAACTGGTTTTCATTTTTTTTTCTAAACTATTTACAGTCTTGTTATCGGTCTCTTTCTGTCTGTGTCTTGGCTTCCTCAGTCAATTTAATTAAAAGGAAAAAAAAAATTCCCCTGGTAAAAGACTGCTCATTATATGCCACATGTAAGCACTGAGCTATACAAAGGGCAGTCTGGTCTTTGCATGTGTGAAGGAACCACCAGTAATTGGATGTGAAAGTGCACCTGTTTTGCAGATGTAATTTCGGTGCTGCGATTTGTAAAAGCACCGTATCTAGACACACACGGGCAGAACGTCTACAATGGTGAATCTCAACCAGGGTGCCACAGCGCTCTGGGGTGCCCTGAGATCCTTTAAAGGATGCTGGGGAGGTTGAAAACACCTACACAGGGGGTGCATCTACACGTTCATGAATGCACAGTAGTTACTGAGCATTTAATTTAGTACTTGTATAATGACGTACTAACTAAACATGCAGTAACTATGGTTACTGCGCAGTAGCACTTTAGCATGGTTTCTGCCCGGCACGCTACTAAGCAGTGTCATTAGGCTACTGTTCATTAAGCGTCTTGTGTAGACGTGCCCAGGATTCACAGCGTAAGCCCAGAGATTTCCAACAGGAATCCAGAGCATCAAAAACATCCTGATCTGTTCTGGTCTTTCTGACGTCTTTGCAACAGAAGAATTGCTCAAGCATTTTAACCGTTGACAAAAAAAGGAGTGAAAGCCAAGCGCCGACATTTTTCAAGGAGGGCCTTGAGTCTGTCGGGGGTGAGTTGAGACTAAAAAGTTTGAGAACCACTGATCTAGTGGAATACGGGGGCTGCGTATCAGGAGTGCTGAGTCTTGTTTCTCATTCCTAATGTGACCTTGTGCAAGTTATCTAGTAGGAAGCAGGGTAGAGTCACACCTTATAAATGCTGTGTGTGTGTGTCAAACTTGTGGGTTGAAACTCACTT